GGGCAGAGGAGATATCCAGAGTCTGATAGACCCCAGATTTCTCAAAAAAGAATATATGACAATGCTCATTGAAGTTATAGGGGATATTTGCATTCCCTGTGATAGCATTAAAAGTGATAAAAAAAATGAAAAAAAAAAATCAAAATAACTTAAATATATAAAAAAAACCTCGCCCCTCCCATGCGCGCACACCTGTGTGCACAAGCCTTGACCCTGTGACGGTATGTAAACAGCGGTTGCACCACGCATGTGAGGTATATCGCCCTGAATGTCAGCTCAAGGGCAGTAATTCTAACACTAGACCTCCTCTGTAAATCTAAAATGGTAGCTTTTAAAGTCTTTTAAAGCGTTGCCTATGGATATTAAAAATGTATGCAGTTTGTCGCCATTGCACGGGGCATGCGCAGTTTTAAAGCATGTCATGTTTGGTATATATTTACTCATCATACCATTATCTTTTATATTGTACCGAATAATTGGACAATATATTGTGTTTCTGTGCATTAAAAGTAAAAAAAGTGTTTTTTGTTTTTTTTTTTTTAAATTTGCTTTTGAAAAATTGCTGCGAGAGTACTATGTGCCATAAAAAATTGTAGTACCCACCATTTTATTCACTACGGTGTCTGCTTTAAAAAACTATATAATGTTTTGGGGTTTAAATTAATTTCCTAGCAAAAAATACTGATTTTTTTCATGTGAACAAAAAGGCCCTGATTTACTATTGAGCCTGGGCGCATTTCCGTGGGCGAACGTCTAATTTTTTACTAGCGACCGTCTACTTTTACCCTGCTAAGAGATTTACTATTGAGCAGTGTCAACAAGTAGATGCCCAATTGAATTTACTAACAAGACACAGATCAGGAATCAGACTCAAAAAGCAAACTTGGTAAGAGGTATGTCCAACACCATGAAAAATCACTGCAGAAACGTTCACTTTGAAATTTGCTTTGACAAATATTAGGACTTCACTTTAAACAATATCTTCCATTTCCAAAAAAAATTAAAAAATTTTTTTAAGCAAGTCAACAGTGAAAAACTAGACGCTCATGCAGCTTATTTGGCTGATATAAATGCACATGTGCAGAACACATTTTAGACGTCCTCTGTGGGCGCTTGCCTTTTAGCCACTGTTCAATAGTAAATCTCTGGCTGGATTCCTCTGACAGGCACTCGGTCGCGTCTACTGTGTTTAACAAACAGCACTAGGCATATCTCTATGTATTCTAATTTGATTTCATTAGTTCTAGTGATTCTATTTTTGTTTCTTATTCTTTATAATTATTTCTGTAATGATATTACTTATTTCGAAGGTCTAGATCAGCAATGGGCAAACTACGGCCCGCGGGCCGTATACGGCCCGGCGGACCTTTTAATCCGGCCCGCGGAGCTAGGCTCCCGCTAGGCTCCTCTCACAGTCCGCCCTGTTTCCTATGAGGATCTGTCCCCCCTCGACGTATTTGCGCATGTGCCGGAGATCGCCGATCGGCTGCTAATGCCTGAAACTGGCACATGCACAGATACGTCGAGGGGGACAGATCCTCATAGGAGACAGATTTTCATGCTACACCGAATGGCGCAGGAACAAGAGGAACGCGCGGAGCAAAGGTAAGTGAATTGACACAGGGGGGACATGGGGAATGAATTACTATAGGGGGGATGAATTACTATATGGGGGATGAATTACTATATGGGGGATGAATTACTATATGGGGGATGAATTACTATATGGGGGATGAATTACTATGTGGGGGATGAATTACTATGTGGGGGATGAATTACTATGTGGGGGATGAATTACTATGTGGGGGGATGAATTACTATGTGGGGGATGAATTACTATATGGGGGGATGAATTACTATATGGGGGGATGAATTACTATGGGGGATGAATTACTATGGGGGATGAATTACTATATGGGGGATGAATTACTATATGGGGGATTAATTACTATGCTTACTATGGGGGAATATTACTATACTTACTATGGATGACACATACACATCATTCATCTACTCTTGGTCCGGCCCCCGGGTCCACTATATGAACCCATTGCGGCCCTCAAGTCAAAAAGTTTGCCCACCCCTGGTCTAGATAATATTTATTTTGACAGCTGAATGTAAAATAAAGGTCCGTAATAAAAAAAAAAACAGAAAAAAAAAAACAAACAAAAAAAAACACAGCGTGGGGTCCCCCCTCTCATCCACTCAAGCCCTTCAGGTCTGCTATGGATATTAAGGGGTAACTCCATATCGAAATTAAAAAAAAAAAAAAAAACAACGTGGAGTCCCCCCCCCTAATATCCCAAGCATGTGATCCCACCCCATGTAACATCAATGATGTCACATGGGGTGGGGATCACTCGGATGATGTCCCCGGCTGGCCCCGCCCCCTTACCCATTTAAGAACTGTCACCCTGTCTCTCCACTGAGGCTAACCAGCTTTATGCAGGAGACAGTCTGACAGTTCTTATATAGCTAAGGGGTGGGGCCAGCAAGCATGTGACATGGGGTGGGGTCACTCGGATGATGTCCCCGGCTGGCCCCGCCCCTTACCTATATAAGAACTGTCAGAGAGAGACTCACTGCATAAGGCAGCTAGCCTCCGTCTAGAGCGGAGCTTTTTTTTTTTCTTTTTTCGGATCGCCGTGATTGACGTTGGATCTACTTCGGGGGACATTGTTTTATTAAAGGACTTGTCAAAGACCCTCTACTGTGTTTTTTTACACTACACTTTTGCTTTTTTTGTGAATTAGTAGTGGTACCATGTACCGCACTCATTCACAAAGGGGGGGGTGGGATCTGGGGGCCCACTTGTTAAAGGGGACTTCCAGATTCTGATAAGTCGGCCAGGGTTGTGGGGAAGAGGCCCTTGTCCCCATCAACATGGGGACAAGGTGCTTTGGGGGGGGGAGCCCCCCTACCCCAAAGCACCCCCCCATGTTGAGGGCATGTGGCCTGGTATGGTTCATCCCCCCCCCCCCCCCCATTTCTGGACCTGCCGGGCTGCACGCTCGGATAAGGGTCTGGTATGGATTTTGGGGGGGACACCACGCTGTTTTTTTTTTTAAATTTCGGCGTGGGGTTACACCCATAATATCCATACCAGACCTGAAGGGCTTGGTATGGATGGGAGGGGGGACCCCACGCTGTTTTTTTAATTATTTATTTAATAAAGGAAATTATTTTACATTCAGCTGTCAGTGGGGAACCCCGCTGACAGCTTAAACATTAACACATGGTCGTCGCTCCTAAAATCCCTCCTAACCATCTGTCCGCCAACTGAAGCTCCGCAGAGAATGGGTGATACAACAGGACAATGACCCAAAGCATACAAGTAATTCAATAAAACAATGGCTGCAACAGCACAGAATACGCCTTCTGGAGTGGCCCAGTCAGAGTCCTGACCTCAACCCAATTGAAATGCTGTGGCATGACCTTAAGAGAGCGATTCACACCAGACATCCCAAGAATATTGCTACACTGAAACAGTTTTGTGAAGAGGAGTGGTCCAAAATTACTCCAGATCATTGTGCAGGTCTGATCTGCAACTACAGGAAATGTTTGGTTGAGGTTATTGCTGCCAAAGGAGGGTCAACCAGTTATTAAGTCCAAAGGTTCACATACTTTTTCTTCCCTGCACTGTGAATGTTTACATGTTATGTGCAATTAAGCCATGGCAACATCTAATGTTTGTGTAGTATTATGTTCAGCAGACTGTGTTCTTCTATTGTTGTGACTTCGATGACGTTCAGAGCACATTTTATGCCCAATTCATGCAAAACTCCACGTAATCCCAAGGGGTTCACATACTTTTTCTTGCAACTGTAGATGTTTTATTCGGATACAAATAGATACAATGTTGTAACCTCTATACTTTTTAATGTCAAATATAATAGCGCAGCTCTCTGCAGGGACAGAAGTAATTACTTCGCTATTATATTTGCCAGCCATAGACGGGTGAAAATCGGCCGACTGAACAACTGATTTCTCGTTTTTTTTTTTTTTTAAATAAAAAGTCAGGTTTTTGCCTTGTCTATGGCCTGCATTTTTCTCTGTTTCTTCTCTTCCATTTTTTTGAAGGTCATGGCTTATGCGCAGATTTTTTATCAGTAAAAGATTGGCCGATTTGCCGATCATTACCGTGAAAATCGGGCAATCTGCAAAATCGGCTGAATTTTATCCACATTTTACCGATTAAAAAAAATGTGCCAAAATCCCAAAAAACGGCCGACCAATTAACCCATTAACGGCCCAAAAATCGGCCAATTTTTTTTTTGGCCAAAAAAAAAAAATCGGCCTATTTTAGACCCATCTAAAGCAGGCCATAGATGGATCTAAAATTGGCCGATTTTTCAGCCAAAAAAAAAAAAAAAAAAAAATCAGCTGATTTTCGGGCCGTTAGTGGGTTAATTGGTCAGCCGTTTTTTGGGATTTTGGCACATTTTTTTTAATCGGTAAATTTGGAAAAAAAATTGTCCGATTTTGCCTATCATTGCCGCGAAAATTGGTCGTTCGGCAAAATTGGCCGATTTTTTTTTTTCCAAATTTACCGATAAACAAAATGTGCCAAAATCCCGAAAAAAAAAACAGCCGACCAATTATCCCACTAATGGAAGAGGCCCTTGTCCCCATCAACATGGGGACAAGGTGCTTTGGGGGGGGGGGGGGGGGGGGGGGGGGGAGTCCCCTTTGTTCTAAAGCACCCATGTTGAGGGCATGTGGCCTGCTATGGTTCAGGAGGGGGGGGGGGGATTTCTCGCTCGTGTCCCCCCCTTTCCTGACCTGCTGGGCTGCATGCTCGGATAAGGGTCTGGTATGGATTTTGGGGGGGAACCCCACACTGTTTTTTATTTAATTTCGGCGTTACCCCTTAATATCCATACCAGACCCGAAGGGCTTGGTGTGGATGGGAGGGGGGACCCCACGCCGTTTTTTGTTTACATTTTGGTGTGGAGTTACCCCTTAAGATACATACCAGACCCGAAAGGGCTTGATGTGGATGGGAGGGGGGACCCCATGCTGTTTATTTATTATGGTGCTGGTTTTTAAATGTAAGGGCTCGTTCACACTAGGCTGTTTTGCCAACGCTTGCCAAACACCCCTATAGCGTTTGGCAAGCGTTGGTCCGGCGTTTGCGGAGCGTTTTTTAACGCTCGGCAAACGCTCCGTAAAACGCCGCATGCGCGGTTTTAGCGGCGGTTGCTAGGCGTTTGCCGAGCGTTACTAACGCCCCACAAACGCCTATAATGCAGTTTGAGTGGTGTTACCGCTCCGCAAACGCCCCGCAACCGCGTCGCAACCGCACCGCAAACGCCGGCCGGGCGTTTGCGGAGCGGCACCATAGACGAGAATAGGAGGCTTCAAAGCCTCCTGACTCGTCCAGAGGCGTCCGTTTTGCCGCGACGCGACGCAAACGCTCCCGTTAGAACAGCACCATGTGCTGTAATGTGCAGAATTGGCAGAGGCGTTTGGGAAGCGGTTAAAAACGCTTCCCAAACGCCTCTCTGCCGCCTGCACACAAGGCTAGTGTGAACGTAGCCTAATTCTCCCTTTTTTTTCTTCACTATAGCTCAGAAATTCACTTATCACCAGTTAAAAGAGAAAGTTTTCTTGGAATTTATATCCCTAAAGGAAACAATGTTTACTTTGAGATTATTAAAAGATACAAATTTTTTTGTAACTTCGGGGAAAGTGACTTCTAAGCATGTGAACTATAGTGAAGAAAAAAAAAAAGGCTGGCATTTGCATTTGAAAATCAGCGCTGACATACACTTTGTATTGCGAAAAAAAATTAACAATTGTGTAAACCGAGGCATTATTTTCCATGGATTTTGATTCGTAAACCGAAAATTATGTTAACCGAGGTGTTGGTAAACCCAAGGTACGCCTGTATTAGTATTGCAATCCTTTGTATTGGGATACATAGAACCAACATACAACAGAATTGGCAACATAGCACAACATTTGTGTCACATTGGAGATATCTGGCTATTACACTGACTTTGCCAGGGACCTAGGATTGATTCACACCACAGAAATACAGGCAGGATATGATTAGTGTTCAACAGCTCCATGGATTAGTGGTTAGCACTGCTGCTTCACAACACTAGGGTTGTCGGTTTGGATCCCAACCATGGCAATGAATTTGGATGATCTCCGTGTGACTACCCTAACATACATGTGTTGGGTGGCAGCATCTTTGCTTTATCTCTAAATGATCCCTAGAATGTGAATTAGAATAAGGCCTTGTCTGTTCAAACACCTTTAAAATTGTACCTTATGTGAATGTCAAAAGATGGGATGAGATAAGGCCTGGACTAATGATTGATTTGATAATGCTGGTTTGCACTCCACCCCCTTTTGGGAAAGTTTGTCAAACCATGAGAAGAGAGTGAGCGAGAGAGAGAAAAGGATTAAAAAAACATTAATAAAAATAATGGCATGGAGTCCCCCTCCAAATCCATAACAGACCCTTATCCGAGCATGCAGATACCGCATGCCTTCAAAGATTTATTTCCTTTTGTTGAATTGCCTGCTTGGTTCACACTAGATGCAATTAAAAAATTGGGTTTTTGTTGGCAATTTCACCATATTTTCTGTAGATTTACCAATCAATTTCACCATATTTTCTGTAGATTTACCAATTTACCACAATTTTCAATTGTGTTTTGCACTGCGGTTGCTATTGTAGTCTATATATGAAATCGCTACAAATGCTGAAAAAGGTAGACAAGAACGACGTTGAAATTGTGCTGCAGCAAATCGCTTACGTTAAGACACTCACATCCACATTCATTAGATCCGATATCAGGTACAATTTCAATTCCCAAATCGCACCTGAAATCGTGCACCCTGAATGCGACTTGGCATATGATTTGCATGACATGCAACTTGCAAATCGTATGCCAAGTCGCACCCTATTGTCTGCTATTAGAGCAGTCACATGGGGTGCGTTTCTAACACTGATTTCTAAAGTAGTACATGTACTAATTTTGTGGAGATTTGCATAGATATCTGTGTCAGATGTCTTGCAAATCGCAAGGAAATCGGCATCTTGTATGCTGCACAGGTACACTTCACTGAGGCTTTCTTTCTGGATGAGATAAGGGCCTGGACTAATGATTGATTTGATAATGCTGGTTTGCACTCCACCCCTTTTTGGGAAAGTTTGTCAAACCATGAGAAGAGTGAGGGAGAGAGAAAAGGATTTTTAAAAAAATTGTTAATATAATGGCATAGAGTCCCCCCACCAAAATCCATAACAGACCCTTATCCGAGCATGCAGATACCGCATGCCTTCAAAGATTTATTTCCTTTGTTGAATTGCCTGCTTGGTTCACACTCGATACGATTTAAAATTGTGCTTTTTGTTGGCAATTTCACCATATTTTCTGTAGATTTACAAATGAGTTATTGAATTTTCAATTGCGGTTTCTATTGTAGGCTATATATAAAATCGCTACAAAATGCTGAAAAAGTTAGACAAGAACGACTTTTGAAATTGTGCTGCAGCAAAATCGCTTACGTTAAGACACTCACATCCAGATTCATTAGATCCGATATCAGGTACAATTTAAATTCCCAAATTGTGCCCATAGGGCTAAGAAATATTGCCAATAGGGTTCCCTTTCACATCCCTGTTCAATGTTCTGTTGTATGCTGCACAGGTACACTTCACTGTGGCTTTCTTTCTGACTCTGATTTGTGGGGCCTGTATACCAAGGGTTAACGCAGGTGGGAAGAGAATTAATCAGGTGCAAACACTTTCTCTGAACAAATGAATGACAGTGGTGGGTGTGGCCTACCTTATATAAAGAAATGCAGTAGTTGCTGATTTTTGCGTTGTACAGGCCACATTATTTCTGCAAGTCCTTGTCTGTGGTGGTTTGGGGAGGAAGAAATATTGTGGTGAATTGCTCCAGGCCACACTCATGCTGTGTTTTGATGTGGACTGTAAATGTTTTGCATGTTCTTCCTTCTAAGGTGTGTTTGTGTGTTATTGTACAATGATTGTGTGTTTATTATCTTTGTGTTATAATCCTAACACATGTCCATTGCTCTGCTCTTCCAAGTTTGCTTTATTTAGAATGAAATGCAGTTTTCAGACAAACATGATGAGAAATGTATGTGTGTGGGGGATTTGGGGAGGTGGGAGGGTGTTATTTTGGCACGTATGCATTTTTATACTGACATTTTGATCTGCAGCTTGTTTTATGGATACGCCTAAGTGATTTATATTAACTGTTTCCTGCTGTAACCTGTGAAAGCACAGTTCATTAGAAGTATAGTCTTTTAGATTGTAAGCTCTATTTTAGCAACATCAATCCTGCTTTTTTTTCACACCAAGATATTGAATGTACCTAGTTGTTGTTGCTGTCCAAATAAATGTGGTATGTGTATTTGATCAATAAACATTTGGACTATGTATTTTTGGGGGATTATTTCATGTTCTAGTTGAATGTAGCACAGTGGCTAAATGATTAGCACTTCCACCTGGCAGTACTAGAGTCGTTGGTGCAAATCCCAACCATGGCACCTCCTGGCTGGAGTTTGCATGTTCTCCCTGTGCCTGTGTTTCCTCCAGGTACTCTGGTTTCCTCCCACACTCTAAAGACATGCTGGTAGGTTAATTGGATCCTGTCAAAATTGGCCCTAGTATATGTATGAATGTATGTAAGTTACGTCCTTTGGATAGTACGCCCCTTGAGGGTTAGGGACTGATGTGAATTTACCACATATATATATGTAAAGCGCTGTGTAGATTGACAGCGCTATATAAGTATCTGAAATAATAATGTACTAGCACCCCTAACACTTATTTTTGCTAGCTATATAATATGCCCAAATCTTCCTTGTTAGAGCGCACATATGCAAGTATGTCCAAACTAACAAACCAAAAGCCCCCTATTGCACCAAGACCATGTTATGTACCAATGAATAGGTCGTGTTCAATGTCCAGCTAGCTATTCTTTTTCTACAATCCTATTAACAGCAATAAATTGGGCCCCCAATTTATGTTGACTTTGGGCCTTTACCGGCAAGTATATATATTTGCCAATGTCATATACACAGTAGAGCTGCAAGCATACATTCACCAATGCCAAATCCACAATAGAACTGCAAACATATATTTGCGAATGTTATATACACAATGGAGCCGCATGTAAAATTGCTATGGTGCACAAATAAACGCCAAGACAGCTGTTGGAGGAGGCGCTAGAACAGCTGTCATACCGGAAATACGTCATGACCTTGGCGGAAGGACGTTTGCACACACCCGGAAGTGGTAGTGGGAAGTGTTAGTGGATGGGAGTGTAGTTAGGAGAGTTTAGTGGTAATTTGCAAGTCTATTTTTTTAGTTTTGTGAATTGTTCTTTGTGGAATTCCAGACCACATCTAGACATGGCGAGATCGCTGTTCTCCACCGAGGAGCTGATCCTCACTTGCCGGGGAAACATTACTAATAATTGTATTTTCAGTTGAAAACATGTCCAATTCCTAGATCCATTGAGGTACATAGCAGAGGTTCAAGGTTCTTCCTAACCATACAGGTGGTACAGACACAAGCATACACCCAGGGCCACTGTTAGATATCACGGGGCCCCGTACAGCATACCTGACGGCCCCCCACCACCAGAGAAAATATCCAAATTATATTTATGGTAAAAATACACTAAAAACATTATTAAATTGACATAATCCCAACCCATATTCCTGTGCAATCTAAGTGATAAAACTGTACTGAGTTCATAAATAAAGCTCTGTGTAATTGAGGTCTTGGGGCTCATTCACATGGGTGCTGTGGCCTGTAGCATGGGAATCAGTGGTTTGTTTTTGTGGCTATCGCCGTTTGCAGGCAACCTATGTTACACTATGGAAATGCTGCAGTGCATAATTTGACAAGCATATGGGTGCAGGTGTACAGCCCTTAACACAGACAGTGAGCATTCAGGGCCACTTCCCCACACCTTCACACCTGTCAGATTAAAACCTGTGTTCATACAGCTGCTGTGACCCCATAGTGTAACAGGTGGCTCCAGTCACATGAACAACCCACCATTCATGCTGTACAGGCCAGAGGACCTGTGTGAATGGGCATTTTTTACTTTTTTTTCCTCAGCTCATTAATTTTAATGGGCTGCCTAATGTGTGGGAACATGCAAAAATACTGCAGGCATGTTATTGTAAGTGTTGCACCTAACCGCAAAGTAGTGTGGTGCCATGTGTTTTGGTGGCTGTGAATGCATCTGTGTTTACTAGACATGTGGAGGTGCAATTAAGTTTTCATCATGGTACCTGCGCACATCTGCAGAGGGCATTGCATTTCTTTGCTGTGCTGGACAATGCGTGCTCTTGCATGCGTTTCTGCATCACAAAATGGTGTGAACAAGTCCTAAGGGCCAGTTCACACTATAGAAACAGTCTAGATGTGTTCCAGATGCGTTTTTGCATGCACTTTTTTGATGCATGTTTAGCATGTTCCAGAACATTTTGGATGCGTTTTTGATGTGTTCCAGTGCAGTTTGGATGTGTTTTTGACGTGTTCCAGTGCATTTTTTTATGCATTCCAGTTAATTTTTTTCCCCTCTCTTTTCTAAAATTTTATTAGAGACATGTGCATTTTAGTGCGTTCCAGGGCGTTTTACCGCGTTCCAGTACAGTTCTATGCATAACAATGCAGCCTGTTTGACTTTTTTTGGCAGCACCTGCAACACACTGGAACTGCAAGCGTTGATGTGAACTATGACATTGACAATCATATAACCTTCTTTCTGTGTGTT